GCTGTAAAAGCTGCATGGCTCAGGGTGGGCTTGGGAGGTATGGTTGCTAGGAGGGTTTTTACCCCAAAGGGCTCACCCCATCCTTCTAGCAGTGTGGGGTGGCAGGTGTCCCAAGCCCTACTCCTGACCCTGCACCTCAACTGTGCCCTTCCCTTCCTGGAGGCATAGCTGTGGTGGGGACTTCTGTCTGATGGGTTCAAAACCAACTCATAGAGCATGCTCTTGGCTTCTAGCAAAGCAGGAAACTGAAGCCTTCATTCAAGAAATGCTTACTGAGCACCTGCTCTATGCCAGGCACTCCTCACCCTCCATGTTTGTCAGTCCCAGCTGCCAGCTATACAGGGTCCCTTGCCCCCACCTTCCCAAGGCCTTCAGCTTTCCTCCTTCACTGCCAGGCTTTGTGCTATTGGATGGGCTTGTTCTTGGTCTGGGAAGCCCCTCCCTTGACTCCAAGGGCAGTGTGCACTGGGCCAGGTCTAAAGATTATAGGGTTTGAGGGCTGGGCTGAGGGTCCCACTGATCCCATGAAGGAGGAAAAAGGGGGTCTTTAATAGAGCTAAACAGTGACTGTTGGGGTAACCCCAAGTAGAAACCAATCCCTAGGGGCTAGTGCCAGTCTCGGGGGACAGGAGAGACCCCAGAGGGAAGGCTGAAGTCTGTGTCCTGCTGCTAAGGTCCTTTGTGTTGGCTCCTGCCCGGAGATGGGTCAGCACTTCCAGTGGCCAACTCCAAAAATGCCTGTGCTTCTGGCCGCACCAGGGACTGGTCCCGTGGCCCAGGAATGCAGTGGCCCTGGGTGCTTTCACCTCCTCAGGCAGCTACAAGGTCCTCTGCTTTCTTTCAGGAGGTGAGCACCAGGTCCGCTGAGCCTCTGCAGAGCCGCCAGCCATGCCCGGGATCGTGGTGTTCCGGCGGCGTTGGTCTGTGGGCAGCGATGACCTCGTCCTACCGGCCATCTTCCTCTTCCTCCTGCATACCACCTGGTGAGTCCCCAGGCCCAGGGCCACAGGCCTGGGTTTGGGGAGAAAGGCCTGGAAGGAAGCTTTCTGGCCATTTGTTCCTCCCTGCTTGGGCCCAAGTCCTGACCCTGTCATGCCCCCAGCTGCCTGGAGGAGGTGCCTGAAACATCGAGCCCCTTAGGGCAATACCCACATGGAGCCGAGACCCCTGCTACCTTTGCTGGACCTGCCCTCAACACTGGGGGGAGTTGCTGCCGCTGTCTCCCCATGGCTAACCCTGAGTCTTTTATTGGCTGCCCATGCCCTTCTAGGCATTCGATGCCAGGTGGACTATGGTCTTATGGAGGAGGCGCCTGCTGCCACCCCTCCTTCCCCTGAATCCGAGCTGGGGAAGGGCCTGCCTGCTAGTGGCATCTTGAGGTGCAGGGGCCTCCGGCCTCGCTCACATGGGCATTCCTGTGACAGGTTTGTGATCCTGTCCGTGGTGCTCTTCGGCCTGGTCTATAACCCGCACGAGGCCTGCTCCCTGAACCTGGTGGACCACGGCCGCGGCTACCTGGGCATCCTGCTGAGCTGCATGATTGCTGAGATGGCCATCATCTGGCTGAGCATGCGCGGGGGCATCCTCTACACGGAGCCCCGCGACTCCATGCAGTACGTGCTCTACGTGCGCCTGGGTAAGGGCCACCCACCCTGGGGTGCTGCCCCAGACAACTCCCACCTCTCCATTCATTCAGCCAGTATTTACTGGGCACTTGTTGTGAGCCGGGCCTTGTTTTAGCACTGGGGTACAGCAGTGAACAAGGCCTTCTATGGCTTACGTTCTAGACTAGGGGTCAGCAAACTGCAGTCTGAGGGCCAAATCCAGCCTGCTGTATGTGTTATTAAATAAGGTTTTGGGCCAGGTGCGGTGGCTCAGGCCTGTAATCCCAGCACTTTGGGAGGCCGAGGCAGGTGGATTACAAGGTCAGGAGTTCGAGACCAGCCTGGCGAACATGGGGAAACCCCGTCTCTACTAAAAATACAAAAATTAGCCAGGTGTGGTGGCACACGCCTGTAATCCCAGCTACTTGGGAGGCTGAGGCAGGAGAATCACTTGAACCCGGGAGGCAGAGGTTGCAGTGAGGCAGAGGCGGAGGTTGCAGTGAGCCGAGATCGTGCCACTGCACTCCAGTCTGGGTGACAGAGCAAGACTCCATCTCAAAAAAAGAGAAAATAAGGCTTTATTGGAACATATCCTTTCAGTTAGGTATTGTCTCCAGCTGCTTTGCCCTACAACAGCCGAGTTGTGGAGTCCCAGAGTCCAAGATGTGTACTCTCTGACCCTTTTCAGAAAAAGGTGCTGACCCCTATCCCAAACCATGTGCATCTCTTCAAAGCACGTCTTCCTTGTGATCCTTCTCAAAACAGGCCCCCTGCTTCCTGGGAACCCCCTCAGGGGTCTGGGCCAGCTCGCCAGGGGACCAGCCTTTGTCCTCTTCCTGGGCTCAGGTTGCAGCCCCTTCTTCTGGTCATTTCTAGTGAACACTGCTCTTGTGCTTCTGTGCACTGGGCTAAGCCCTTTTTCCTGTGTTAACTCACAGGGAGCAGGTGTTACTGGTCTCCGTTTATAGATGAGGAAACTGGGGCCCAGTCTTAGCCCCCCTCAAGGTCACACAACTAGTAAGCATGTAAATATTGGAACTGGGATTTGAACCCACGCTGTCTGGCTCCAAAGTCTGGTCTCTGAGCTGCCACACTGCTGCCCATGGAGCTGGGGCTTCCCAGGCTGCCCTCCTGAGGCCAGCAGATCTCCTCAGCCACCACTCCATACCCCTCCCCTCCAGTCTCGGCCCCTGAGGGGCCTGAGCTGGATGCAGACTGGCTGCTGGACCCTTCCCTTCTCCTCCATCAGGTTCCGGAGGCCTCTTGCTGGGAAATAGTTTCCATGAAGTGAACATGCTCTCATCTAATTTTTGCACAGTCCTATGACATAGATGTTGTCACTCCCATTTTACAGATGAGGAAACGGAGGCTCAGAGAGAATAGGTAACTTGCCTAAGATATGTCTGATTCCAGAGTTCGGACATACGATTCTGAAATCCTGAGAGAATGAGGAAATGGGCCGGGCGCGGTGGCTCACGCCTGTAATCCCAGCACTTTGGGAGGCCGAGGCGGGTGGATCACTTGAGTTCAGGAGTTCAAGACCAGCCTGGCTAACATGGCAAAACTCCGTCTCTACTGAAAATACAAAAATTAGCTGGGCCTGGTGGCGGGTGCGTGTAATCCCAGCTACCCTGGAGGCTGAAGCAGGAGAATCGCTTGAACCCAGGAGGCAGGAGTTGCAGTGAGTCAAGATCGCACCATTGCACTCCAGCCTGGGCAACAAGAGCAAAACTCCATCAGGGAGGCCCTGGGGACCTAAGAGCACAGAAGCTCGGAGAGGTGGTGGGCCCATTGCAAGCGATCAGGCAGGGGCCAACAGGACCAAATGGTGACAGGACAGGCTTGGGCCTGGGAGGTGGGGGTGGGGGAGTGCTGCTGGCCCGCTGCCTCTGCCTTTGCTACTGAGCTGGCTGAAAGCCCCACAATAGGAAAGGCCAGGCCAGGGTTCTAGGCCCTTCCCTGGCGGGCAAGTGGCAGCCATTCTTCAGCCAGGCCTGCTCTCCTTGCAGCCATCCTGGTGATCGAGTTCATCTATGCCATCGTGGGCATCGTCTGGCTCACTCAGTACTACACCTCCTGCAACGACCTCACTGCCAAGAATGTCACCCTCGGTATGTCTGGGTGAGGCCTGCTGGAGCCTCAGCAGCCCCAGGGGCACAGGGGACAGGATCAATTTAGAGAAGAAGCAGCTTGGGTATTGCCAGAGGGAAGTGGCTTCTCTGGGGGCACCAGCAGGTTGACTGGGCGAGGCTGCTTCCCTCACCCTTGAGGCCTGCCAACTACCCTTGGGGGACCCTGGTCTGGGGTGGGCTGCGGCAGGCACAGAGCTGCTCAGGTCAAGTCAAGGCTCCTCAACACCTCCTTGGAAACCCACAAAGCTGCCTGCTCTGAGCCAAGAGTGGCCCTCGGGGTTGTGGGTGGGCAAGAGGGTGGCCACGTATGTGGCCAGAGACTGGGACCAGGGGCTTTGGAGCCTGGCTTTTGTCCTCAGCAGCATTTGGGGTTAGGGAGCCTCCAATGTCCCTTTCTTCAGAGCGGGTGAGCCAGAGAAGTGTCCCCAGCGCCTCTGCCTATTGCCTCCCACTGCTGCCCGCAGGAATGGTTGTCTGCAACTGGGTAGTCATCCTCAGCGTGTGCATCACTGTCCTGTGCGTCTTTGACCCCACGGGCCGCACCTTTGTCAAGCTGAGAGCCACCAAGAGGAGGCAGCGTAACCTGCGGACCTACAACCTGCGGTCAGTCAGCGGGCTGGGTGGGCAGTCCCAGGGTGGGCTTTCCTGACTGGTGGGCAGAGGTCTCCATTCTCCAGGAGGCTATCCCAGGCCTCCCAGACTGCATGCCAACCTCGTGTGAGCCATGGGCATTAGTCAAAGGGCTTAACTGCTCCCTGCCTCAGTTTCCTCGTCTATAAAGTGGGAATAACAATTCTTGTCTCATGATGTTGTGAGATTTAACCGAGATGATACCTGCAGAGTGACTAACACAGTACTCACACGGGGTAAGTGCTCAGTTAATAGTAACTGTTGTCATCGTTGTCACTGCTGATAATAACAATGATAATAACAGCGAAACCAAGCATTGCGTGTAGTAAGTTACAAGTCCACCAGACAGCTGTCATCTTCCCCATCATATGGGTGGAGAAACTGATGTACAGAGAGATGATGGGACTGGCCCAAGGTTGCACAGCTCAAAAATGGTAACACTGGGAACTAGCCCAGGCTGTCTGGCTTTAGAGTCCTTGCTTAACTAACTGTTAAATTAGGCTAGGCTGCCTCTAGGATTCAGAGATTGGGAGAGGTAAGTCAAGGAAAGCTTCCTAGAGGGCGTGAATTTTGCATGATGTTTTAAAGATGGGGAAAGTGTGCCATGGCAGACAAAATGAGAGAGGGCATCCAGGCAGTGTCACAATAATTTCTGTTTGTTGAAAGAAAAAGACAGGGGCTTCCAGGGTGGGTCCCAGTACCTCCTGTTAATGGGGCTTCTACAGTGCATTATGTAAGGAGCTCCCCATGCCGAGCCCTTCACACAATTCATCCATTTAATCCCTTTGTGAACCCCGGCATGGTTGTGAGATCCATTCCACAGATGAGGAATCCGTGTCCCAGAGAGGGCAGGTCGCCTGCCCCGGGTCGAGCTGCTGAGGTGCAGAACTGGCACCACACCTGCAGCCCAGAGCAGCTGGCTCAAGCGCCCTCACCTGGGGAGCAGGCTGCCTGGACCCCCCCGCCCGGCAGGAGTTCTCCCCATCCCACCCTCCTGCGCTGCTGTGTTCGGCTCCCCGTAGACCTTCCACGTCAGCTCAGCACTGCAGCCAGAGCCACACCCGTGCCTGCTCTGGCCACGTCCCAGCCCAAAATGTCAGGTCTAGGAGCCAAGGCCCCATAGCCCATTTTCCCTCCCAGCCCAGCTGGCCACCACCACCCATCCCACAGTGCTCTGGGGAATCCTGCTTGGCCAGCACACTGTCCCTTCATCAAGCCCTGGAAGGTGGGACATTGGTTTTGGATATACAGCTGTCCAAGTCCCTAAGAGCCAGCAGGTCCCCAGAGCAGCAATTCCCTGCACCCTTCCCTACCCACCTTCTTTAGCCCTGGAAGACCCTGTTGCCCTCCTCGTGGCCATCTGCCTTATGGAGCCAAGGTTGGAGAGCAGGAAGCGGTCCTTAGACAGACGGAGGAGCCCAGAGGCTCAGAAAGGGCCTGGCCTGTCACTCCAGATGGATGTTAAGTGCCTTGAATGCATCTGAGGGCCACCCTTGCCTTCCTCTCCTGACCACCCAGCGTCAGGCTTTTAAGGGGCCAGCACATGGCACAAAAGCAAGCCAGCCCCTTCTTGCTCGGTTCGGAGGTCTGCACTTTTAATGTTGGATCTGTTATCTTTATGCTCAAAACACACCGACTGCAGACATCCAGCCTAGGAGGAACCTCTGTGAATAACTGGCGCATTGCTCTGCCTTTGGGTACAGACTCCTGGAGACCCTGAATCTCCATCCGAGCAGCCAGACCCACTGGGGGTGGGGCTGGGGGGTGAGAATAGACAAGGGCAACCATGTGGGTGAGGGATGGAGCCCTCTGCCTAGGTATCAGATCCAAGGAATTGGGAAATGCAGAGCCTCATTCAGCCCCATAAATTTCCTGTAAGTAGAGTATGTAAGTATGTAAGTGTCTGAAATCCTTTCTGGGGAAAAGCAGGTCTTTCTGGAAGGTCTGTTCCAGGCCTTAGAACGAGACGACAGAGAGGCCCAGTACCCTGCTGACCTCTCCCAGGGTTTGAGTCTTTGGACACCTGAGCTGCAGGGTAGCCCCCACTTTGGGCTCCCAGCTCTGAAGCCCCAGAGCCTGCCTGTGTTCGGTCTTCCAAAAGCCAGGTCTCTCCAGCACTCCCCACCTCCCTCTTCCAACCACCCACCTTTGGCCAACAGCACACACCATCTTAGGCTAGCAGGAGTCCGTCAGGCAGTGCCGCTGCTGGCCAGCAGCCAGGCCACTGGCCACCAGCTCTGACAGGGCCTGGGCCCTGTTACCCCTAAGAACCCCCGTGGGAACCCTTTGGTAAGGTCCTGGGAACAGGCTGCCCTGTTTCCAGAATGTCTGGGTCCCAGCTTTTCTGGTTCAGCCCTCTGACCTCACACATACCGCCTCTCCTGCTTTGCAGGCACCGCTTAGAGGAGGGTCAAGCCACCAGCTGGTCGCGCCGGCTCAAAGTGTTCCTCTGCTGCACGCGGACGAAGGACTCCCAGTCAGTAAGTACTGGGAGGTCGCTCCCCTCTGGCTCACATCCTGTGGTCAGGTGATTAAGGGGCTGTTTGCTCCTTTGGCAAAGCAGGATGGGGCAGGGCTGGTGGGAAGGAGCTGGGTTTCCAGCAGCAAGTACAGCCTGCTCACACAGGGCCTGTTATTCACTGAGCCACTTGCTCCAGCGTTCAAGACCGCGTCCACTTGCTTTGTCAAGGGAACAGAAAGCTGTGAAGACTGCATCGACTCCCTTGGAACTTACACTGTAGTTTAGGAGAAGAAATAATGCAGAGTCAGGGTGACCTAAAGACAAAGAAAAGTAGCATTTCACCAGCAGCAAATTAATCAAGAAGGTCTGGCAAAGCCGATAGGCCTTTAGCACAGTCTTAGATGGGGACACATAGCCTTCAGCACCTGGGAGCTCGGAGGAGTGGCCAGAGGGTCAGACTTAATGCCAGGGCACTGCAGAAGGAAGACACGGCCAGCTGGGGGTGGCCCCCAAGGGGAGGGAAGGGAAGCAGGCCCCGGAATCCTCCAGGGGCGCCCCGCAGCGAGCAGGGACCTTAGAGATCATCTAGTCCCACCCCTCATTTTACAGATCAGGCAGCTGAGGCCCAGAGAGGTGGAGTGACTTGCTCAGCGTCCCACAGCTAGTTAGTAGCAGAGCCAGTGAGGTCAGGAGACCACTCCTCCCTGAGGCAGACAGCCAAGTGCCTTCCACGGAAGCCACCGGGAAGCCTCGAGTGGCTCCTGCCCACCAGCGTCCCCTGGTGAGCCGTAGAGTGAGTAATCAAGTGTAAGAAAGCCCCCGAGTTCCCTGGTGGGCGGGGAGCACCCCCTTGGGTCTCTCTGGGGCGGTCTGAGGGGTCTGGGCTGTAGGCAGGCCATGCAGAGGGCAGAGAACTGGCCCCTGGCGGATGGAGGCTGGGGCTGCTGTGTGGAGGGCACGCCCGCCCCTCCGGGTGCACGGGCAGAGCTGGGGCTGTCGTCAGAGTCTGGGGAAAAGATAGCACATCACAGTGGAGCCCCAGGGCAAAGGTCCCGATAGACACTGATGGCCTCAGGGGCCAGGTCCGGTCCCAAGCACGTTTTAATCAGCCTGTGTTGTGTTGCTTACACTTTAATTGGATGCCAGTATTTAAAAATCAGGGGTGTCTCCATAAACTTCTGTATTTCTAAATCTGGCGAAGTGGGTCCTGGAGGGCCTCCGGTCAGCTGGAGCCGAGCAGTAGCTGGCTCTGTTTGGCTCCATTCGGCATTTGAATTTGCAGCCCTTGATTTATTCACTTACGAGTGCCAAACATCCAGGGGCGAGACCCAGTGAGACATGGCCATGTGGTTGTTCCCACCTCAGCGTCTCCTGACAGGTTAGGGAAGAGGCTTGGGGCTGGGGCTGCAGCGTAGGGCCAGGAAGGGAAGACTAAGAGTGCACCAGCCAGCAGGGCTCGCCTCCTGCCCTGAGGCCCAGACATGCACTGTCCTCAGGCCAAGGACCTGGAGAGAAGCCACAAGGGGGCCACCGGACCAGAGAGAACACCCCCCTTCTAGGGCACATTGTGGGGATCACTGAGCCAGCAGCCTGTGGGTAGCGGGGGGGGGGACCTGAGACCTAGCAGGCTCCACAGAGGCCTTAAGAGGGACTTCCAAGGTCCCAGCTGGTGGGGCGAAGGCAGCCAGGAGCTGGCTAGAGGAGAAATGAGCCAGAGCCACCCGGCCTTGATCCTAGCATCTGGGAAGGCAGAAAGGAGTGACTCAAGTAGACGCCTGCTCTTGGTAGACAGTGGGCACCGTGCAAATTCCAAGGAGAGGAGAGGGCTGGGAGGCTACTGCCAGGTCTAGGAGCCCAGAGCCCTGGGCAGGGCCCTCAGGGTCACAGGCGCACAGGGCCGCATGGGGTCAGGCTCAGCGGGCGCTGTGGAGGTGCCAGGGAGAACCTGCCCAGGGGATCCCCGAGCAGACACCTGCTTCTGCAGCGTCCCAGTCCTGGGGGATTTACTCCTGGCCTCTCGTCCTCTCTCCTGCTCCCCTGCCACTGCCTCCTGCCTTCCTGGACCTCATAGGATGCCTACTCAGAAATTGCCTACCTCTTTGCGGAGTTCTTCCGGGACCTTGACATTGTGCCGTCCGACATCATTGCTGGCCTGGTGCTGCTCCGGCAGCGGCAGCGGGCCAAGCGCAATGCCGTGCTGGACGAGGTGAGCACTGCCAGGCCCTCTCCAGGTCACCTCTCCACACCACCCTCCTTCCAAGCCCCTTCCCTGCGGCCCCTGCAGCAGAGGACTCGGCTCCCATGCCACTCGCCAGTGACCATGCACCCTCTTGCACCCTGGAGGTCACCTTTTCCTCTGGCTCCCCCTGCCTTCCTGAGCTTGTCCTTCGGCCAGGCTTTCCGTGACTACTATTCAAGGGACTTTCCGGGCCATGCATGGCTGCCTCTGGGGCTGGCTCTCAAAGGACTTCTAACCGCAGGCTTAGTGGACGCTGTGAGCTCCTGAGTTGGTCTTCTACATGGCTGCTCTGCCCACCCCACATTCCCCCCAGCACACCAACCCCAGTTAGGGTTTCTCAGTGTCTCATACAAAATACCCTCCCCCTGCTGTGGGCCAGGAATGTCCTCAGGGGCTTGGTGTTTTGGGTAGAAGGGGAGCATCTGGAAATATGGGGATACCTCAGATTTTGGAAAAGTGGCTGAATCCTGGAAGAACTAGAAGCTGCATGCCCTTTGGGCTTCTTGGCCTTTGGGAAGCAGGTGGACACCAGGGCCTGGGCCCCCTTTCCCGGCCGTGCAGCTGGGCCTGGGCCAGTGATTGTCCCTCTTCACCTGCCTGTCTTACAGGCAAACAATGACATCTTGGCCTTCCTGTCTGGGATGCCGGTGACCAGAAACACCAAGTACCTCGACCTCAAGAATTCGGTGAGTCAGAGATCAGCTCTTACCCCACCCCTTCCCCATCCCTCGCACTCTGCCACAATGACCTAAGCAAGCTCCTGCCAGCTGCCCTCGCAGTGCCAGCCACATTGCCCCCGCCCTGTCCCCCTCCTCCAGGCTCTCCGGAGAGCCTCTCTGCTCAGATCATGCCCCTCACGAGAACCACCCACCTCACACCGATTCTACAAACAAATCCCCTGAATTCCTTTACCAAGTTCAGAAGTGTTTGGTCCTGGCCTCTTGAGATGACAGAGTGCTTCACCAGGGTGAGCTGCTAGGATTTTTACTGCTCCTGCTGCTGTTATGAAACACAAGGGGCGTAGTACTTGGGTTTCCGAGCTTTTTTATAGTGGAACCTTTTCTCAATCGTCTTTCATAGAAATTCAGTGTGTTATAGGGAAAGGTGGTGCCAGTACCATGGTGGGAGGGCCCCAGCCCAGGGCCCAGCACAGGCCACGGCCCAGCACAGCCCAGGGCCTAGTACAGCCCAGGCTGAAACCACAGCTGGCAGCCGGGAGAAACAGGCCCTGCCTTAGGAAGCAAACGATTGGAGCATGCATCTGCTCTGATGCCTGTCTCTGCGACCTCCAGCAGGCCCTCATCCCCTCTGAGCCTGATCCTGTATCTGTGAAATGACGCTGGGCACACCTTCTACCAGAGCTGTGCTGAGAGGATGCAAGCCATTCCCATCACAGTGCCAGGAAGCCTCAGTGCCAGCCAGGATGCTAATGGAAAGGATTCCGTCTCTTAGAAGTCTCCGTCCTTTAAGCCACATGTGCTGTCTTGCACCTGCAATCCTAGCACTTTGGGAGGCCAAAGTGGGAGGATTGCTTGAGGCCAGGAGTTTGAGACCAGCCTAGGCCACATAGTGAGACCCTGTCTCTGTAAAAAAAAAAAAAAAAAAAAAGCCAAGCATGGTGGCACATGCCTGTGACTCCAGCTACTTGGGATACTGAGGTAGGAGGATTGCTTGAGCCCAGGAGATCAGGGCTGCAGTGAGCTATGATTGCCACTGCACTCCAGCTGCACTGTCCCTTAAAAAGAAGAAAAAAGCCCCCAACACTCAATCCTCTAGAAAAGCCTCAGTCCTCCCTGCCTGTCCCTACTCCCCACTAAAGCAGGCATTTGTATCCTCTCTGAAAACAGCCATATCCATAGTAGGTGCCCCAAACCAGCCCATTTCTGTTTGCCAGGCTCTGTCCTGGGTATTCTCACCACCCTCTCCCTCCCACTCCTCACAGGGAGCAGGGATGGGAGCTGTGACTCCCATCAAGTGACTCCCATTGAGGTGCCAGGGTCACACCTGCCACCTGGCAGAGGCTGCCAGGGCCCACCCCATCCCCAGGGCTGCAGGGAGCTCCCGACAGGGAGAGGATAATTACCTCCTTCCCACTCTCGTTCCTGAAGAGCAACTGAGCTGGCCAGGGATGTTTCCACCCCTCCGGGCCCTGATCAAGGTGCTACCTATTTCACTTCACAAGGTGACTAATCACCCTCTTTAACTTTTACAAGGTGACTAATTCCCTCTCCCAGTGCCTGGGGCACTCGGGAAAGACTGGAAGCTGGCAGACACTTTGCTGGGACACCCCTGCCTCTTCCTCCCTCCACCCCAGCAGCCAATAGCCTCCTCAGTGTCAACAGTGGCCGCCGGGTCTCAGTCACACTGACTTTCAAACTGGTGCCTTTCTCCGGAGAGATCCCAATCTCCCACCACCGCAGCCCCTGCCCGGAGCCCTGGGAACCTGCAGCTGGCTGAGTCAAGTTGAAGGCTCCTGATATTTGCAGTCAAAGAATAGGAGGGCCAGAGATTTGGTGATTGGTCTCCTGGCCCAGCGTGGCTGCCCTGTTGCTCAAGGCCCACACACCCTGCCCAGCTAGAGGGCCGGGGCCTCTCAGGGCCACATTTTCCCAGCACTGATTGCTGAGGTGGGGGTATTACTCCTCACGCCCCTCAGCTCTTCCCTTCTCTGGAAAACAGGCAAGGAAATGGACCAAGTGATTTTCTGTCCCCAAATCATTAATTCTGAGACTGGAGCAACAGGACAGATCTCTGAGGATTCGTGTTCTGGTTGCATGGAGATAATTAGGGAAATGCAATTATCACCTGGAGGAGTGGCCTTCCTCCAAGGCCTGGGCCCCACACCTCAGCAGGGGACCAGCAGCGCCTCCCTGCCTGGGGGTGGGTCTGCAGTCTCCCACCCTGGGAACTGCTGGGCCCTGAGGCTGCAGGCGGAAAGGGCAGGAGGTGACTGCCCTCTGCCTCCTCTCTTCTAGCAAGAGATGCTCCGCTACAAAGAGGTCTGCTACTACATGCTCTTTGCCCTGGCTGCCTATGGGTGGCCCATGTACCTGATGCGGAAGCCCGCCTGCGGCCTCTGCCAGCTGGCTCGGTCTTGCTCGTGAGTACCCCTGTCCCGTCTCCCGGCGATTGCGCCTCTCCTCCTGGGTGGTATGTGAGGAAGGGCTAAGGGGCTGCGCCCGCTGCTTTGCCCTGAATGGCTTCTTTTCTGCGCCTCTGTGGGCCTCAGCCTTTCTAGTTCTGTGTTACCCTGAGCAGTGAAGTTGTGGGCTTCGGAGTCACACAGTTATGGGTTTGAATCCTGATGTTGTCACTTACAGCCTTGGGCAAGTGGGTCTACCTCTCTGAGCCTTGGTTTCTTTATCTGCGAAGTGAAGATGTTGATACATACCTCGTGGAATTTTTTGGAGAGGACTAGATGAGATATTGCATAACACCCATACTGCTGCCTTCCCTCCCCTTCTGGCGTTCTCTCTCTGCCCCCTCAGCCATTCCCTTCTGCCCACATCTTCCCTTCTCTCAGCTCCCCTCATGTGCTCTGCCTTTCTAGAAGAAAGGACTTTCCTGGTAGGGAGGCCCAATCCATAGAGGTCTCTGGAAAGGCACCAAGAAGGCCTGTTAACTTAAAGGCTCCAACCTTCTTCATAGGGATCTGGGAAAGGCCTTAGCCCCAGACCTGGCCCGCAGCCTGGCTCCGCCTTCAGCCCACCGCTTGGGGACTGGGTGGACTCTGCTTTCCTAAGTGGGCCAGAGAAGAGCACCTGCTCCAGGAGGAACCCCTCCCTGTCCTGGGTGTCTCCACCCTCAGCTCATGCCAGGCAGAAGGAGGACAGCTCCCTGGGCTCCCGTTCTGGAAAGACTGGCATTCTGGGCAGCAGCTTCTTTCCTTGACACCTCTGCCCTTGGGACCCACAGCAGCCACACCTACTCTGCAATGCCCTCCCTGTCCTCAGAAAGCTGAGTGACTCTCGGGGCCGAATCTCACCATCCCTCCAGCAACTGATCAGAGAGGACTAGATCACCTCATGCCCACTTCCTATCTTTGTCAGCTGCACGTGCCTGGCATTCTTGCCTGCATCCCTGGGAGTCCCAGCCATGGCAGAGAACTTCTCAAAATGAGCACCAGGCTCCATTACTCGCTGGCAGTGTGAGGACATCTCTTGGAGCCTCAGTTTCCTAAATTGTAACAGGTGGTATCTGTCCTGCCTGCCCATAGGGTGTTTCAGAACCCAGGGCGTCACTGGCAGGCAGGGCTCTTTGGTGCTCTGCAGACAGGAGGGATGCTGGTATCTGCATTAGGTGCCTTAGTGCTGCAGAGAGAGCAGAGTCCCTAGACTCATGAGGGCCCAGCCAGGCCCCTGCCTGGAAGAACCAGGTACCTGTGGGGCTGAGAGAAGCAGGCCTGCAGCCCAGGGTGTTGGGAGGAGGCCAGAGTCCAGTGTCCTTCTCAGTGCCCCAGCCTGTCCATAGCAGCCTGGCCAGAGGGAGAAGGGCTGCCCATCTGCCTCAGGCCCAGGCCTCTCCCCTGGCAGCAGTTCTCAGCCCATGCAGAGCACAGCAAGCCAGGCCTGCTTCTGGCTGGGCCCCAGCCCTGCCCTGGATGAGCCCCAGGGCCCTGCCTTCCAGGGTGCTGGCCCTGCTCCCCTGACTGGTCCCCCTGGCCTGCAGATCACTGACTCAGAGGCAGCCCTGTCACCAGAGAAGGGAGGAGCCACCGTTATTAAGAACTTATAATAGGCCAGACCATTTCTGCATCTTGGACCCTTGATCTCACACCAGCCTTGTGAAGTAGCTGTCAGCACCTGCTCTTACAGAAGAGGAAACTGAAGCTTAGAATGGCTGAATGACCTCCAGGCCCTTGCAGTCAGGAAGTGACACCGCAAGGGTTCAAACTCAAGCTTCCAGTCTCCAAAGGCCACACTGTTACAGCTTCATGCTCGGCTGAGGTTGGAGAGGGAACAGCTGCCGAGCACAGGAGCTCAGCCCCTAGACCCTGGCCCGCCACCACTTGACCTGCAGTGGGGGGGACCATGCTCTCCCATTGTACATTGGGGTTGTCCCCTCCGCAAACACTGTGGATTTCTCAGCAAAGCCTCTCCCCATTGGAAAGTGTGTAATAGTCACTCAGGTGATGTTCCAAGTGAAGACAAACCTCCCAGCATCGCCAGAATCCAAGCTTCTTAATAAAATCTCAGCTGTCATCCCGTGACAGCTGGCAGGCCCAGTCACGTGGGCTCCAGCGCCTGGTGCCCTAGCCATTGGGTGCTGGCTCCCTCTGGTGGCCTGAGGCGCAGCTGCACCTAGTCGGGTGCCCAGCTCCCAGGCTGCCTCATCCTCACAGGGGAGGCTACTGTGTGCCTGGCACTGTTTGGGTGCTGGGGATACAGCCATGGACCTCTCTGTGGTGATCACTGCCCAGCAGGGAGGTGTACAGCACATAGACAAGGCAAATAGGGCACATGGTGGAGCACATGGGCGCTTTGGACCCACATGAAGCCAGGTGCCTGGGGGCCTGGGGAGCCCTCGCTGTTAGATGAGGTGGCAGGAGAGACCTCACTGTGACAGGACGTTTGGACAGAGGCCCAGAGGAGCAAGGGCCAGGCCACGCT